TGTTTTATGTTTTATTCATGTTATGTGGTGTCATTTGATTTGTGACTGTGTTCTATAACCTTCATTTAGTCACTCAGTTATATAAATCATACGTCCAATTAGTGCCTGAACCGTGGTTTGTTATACGGTGTAGTAAAAGTTATTTACAGGTTTTCTCTTATATGTATTGTTTTTGTCTAGTGTCATATACTTCCTAATTCTCAATGTGCATGCCTTTATAGAGTTCATATTGCGTATACTCCCAAAAGCCAACTGAAGCTGAGACTAACTTAGGCCTATGCTTACAGACGGTTTCAATTCGTTATCACATTAATTAACGCAATCAATAGAACCCTGCCGTACCTCATCAGTCACGTTAGCGTACCGTTTGTACACTGTGTCTACATGTAATTTGTATATTGTGTTGTTCTGTATATTATGTGTCTACATATAATATGCTATAAATGTTTTGCTGTGGATGTTATTTATCTGTGTGTGGATTTCTTGGCTCAACTTGCCCAAGCAAATAAAAGCAATGGACTGATATGGGTGTTAAGAGAGATATTTTTCATGCATCTTTGAAATTTTCAGCATTTATTATTTAAGTTACGATTCAATTTTGATTTTACAGGCAGACGTATATTTGATCGAGAGAGGCCAATACATACACAAAGAACATAATGTTGTGTACATATCCACGGACGCTGGTCACACGTGGGTTCCCCTCCACCAGTTTGCCAATGTAAGAAGCCTGGCGTTTTGAACGAAAGACGATAGATTTCTATGCCACATAAAGACCTGTAGTATTTAACATTACGAAGCTATTTTTATTGTGAAAAAATCACCCTACTCCACTCTACTTCCTTCCTACTGATGATTTATATTATGTTAAAAAAGATATTTTGATGGACTGAATGTAATTTTTTTTTCTAATCCATTCTACAGGCAGACAGTCCGTACTACAGCGAGGAGGAATACCTGTATCTTGACAGACAGTTGGATCTGTTGGGGAAACTTTGCAAAGTAAGTTAGTTTTGCCATTTGTAGTCTGCATTAAGAAAAGACATACATACAGCCCTATTCACAAGTAAGACACCAAAATAAAAGCACATCCCCTTTAAAGACAAGACTGCTATTGCGCGACCGACGAATGTTTTACTGATGTCATTGATGCCATAGCCAAAAGCATCGATCAAACTGCGAATACCTGTTTTTTTTTCAGGGGAGGAATCAGTTCTCAATCCGGGTTATCACCAAGGACTTGGACATCCTTACATGGGAGAATACGTTTGTATGCCTCAGGTCGGAGCTCCTCCCGCCGTCATTAAGGGCCAAATACTGCAGTCTCATCATAGGTACATTGTCCAGTTTCTAAAAATAATACAAATATTTAAAACTGAAATGAATTTACCACTGAGGCATGTTATTAAAAAAAAAGAACATTATAAAAAACGAACCTTCCTTGTTACGACTTGTTAATACAAGTATGGAATAAAGCTATTATCATTGCCGTGGTTTCTCATAATCCAGTGTTCTCATTTAGATCTGTTTGTTGATGTTGGTGCCAGTCATTCCGTGCTCGACCAGCACACGCTTGTGTTTGTCTATGAGGACATTGACAACCCTCGGCCGCTCTATTCTACGAAAAGTCAGGTAAGGAATATTTTTATGCAATTCATAAGTGACATTTGCATGATATGATGACAAATTAAGTATTTTTGATATCCATTTTAATTATTAAGTCACAGCTGAATCTTGATAACATACTTCCAACGTTGTAATTTAATAATTTACATTAAATATTCATTTTATCTTAATGATATATTTTTTCATTGTACACTATGCTCTTTAAAAATCTTATCACTTGAAATGTACTCTTAAATGCAAAATCTTGTTGGTTTATGGAATGCTTCCACGTGTGCGGCACAATCTTATGCACAATGCGATACACTACGCTACCCACGTGGTTTGGACGTGTGTGAGAGTGCTGCACCACCGTTATTACAATGTGCCTTTCACTATCTGACTGCACATTTCTTGTAGACGTCGACATACATCCTACTGCACAACGTGAGAATATAACTATCAAGCGATAAACCTAAGAAAAATATACATTTTGGCATTAGTAAAATATAGATCAAATACCAGCCGAAGCAGAAGTCGTTTCTTGCACATTCTTACAGAAAATCTTTCTAAGCAGCAATAAAAACAACGGGGAGTTGTTTGCTGTTTGATCTCTTTGCTTAGAATCTGAGTGACTGCTTTAAGAGCTTATTAAAGATTGAATAAGCTTGGTGCCATAAATAATAGATTTGCAATATAAAATTTGGTGTTAAGCGAATGTTCCAACAGTTCGGCGAATCTTGACTCAACATTATGCGTGCGTCAAAATGCTTATTTTACAGACATTATCTATTTTGCCATTCTGACACAAATTATCTTCACTCTTTCCTGTAAAGGTCGCTACAAATGTGCTCTTCGTAAGTACAAAGCGTTTCCTCTTCCCGCTATGGCCGTGAACTGGCCTCAACCAATTTGCGAATGATTGCGCATGCGCCAACCAATTAGGCAGGCTTATATATGTTGACGTGTGTGTCTATAGATATATATATATATATGAAACCTTTTTGAATATATGTGTCATTCATCTTGATATATATATTTACATATTAATGAATACATAATTGAGAATTGCACTGGATGATATTCATTGGATTTTAGGCGATTATGTAGTTACTGTGTTTATTTAGGATGACTTGTGCGTGTTCAGGGAGACTCAGGTGAGAGAAAGGCCTGCGTTTCAGTCAATGTACTCTATCGTACAGCATCACTGCGTCATCACTGTTAAATAATATTCTAACTCCTTTATTGAATATGTTGTAGTAGCTACTAGTAGCAAGGAGTGTTACGTGTACAATATAAACGTCAGTTTCAGGAGGTTTTTGGCACGAATCCAATAGGACTAATTGGTCTACTTGTTTTGTGTAAAAAATATCCCAAAAGCTAGTTATTGTTAAACCTATGGAAGCATGAATATATTTAAGAACAAGTGTGAATGGAATGTTTGTTTTTTGTTGGTTTATGTTTAATTTTTGCTGAAATGTTCACTACTGATAGCTTGAAACTTACAGTTGCCTCCTCGTATAACGTATATCATCTTCCTCTTTCTATGTTATATGTGTAATTATCTCGAAAGTATTCTTTCGATACTTCTCTTTGAGGGTGTTACAATCAATTTATACAATAACCTAGTAGTTACGATGTGAAAATAACCGAGGCCTATATCCGATAATAATTTGGAAAACGCATTTAAGTACCCTTTGCATGATATAAAAATACAACAGGAAATAAATTATTTGTTTCACGTTTGCCTACTAAATGCAGTAACAGAAACTATCATAAAGCTAACTATAATATAAAGAATATGAAAGAATAATTAAATCGTATTTGTGTTTTTTTAATTTAATATTTTCAAAAAATGGAAAGCAATTGCATTTCAGCGACATGAGGTATGATGAATTAATCTGAATATTTGACGTCACTTGTTCATCGAACATCATTATGTTATGTAATTCACTAGTTAGTGGAGCAGTTACCTAGGCATGGTAAGTTGTGACAGATAGACCAGGTGATCTGTTGTTGTATATTCATCAAATACCCTACCAATTTAATTTCAGTTGGCACAAGAACTTGGCACCGTGTTTCCGGTCATGCGAGATTGGATCCAAGAATTCGTAGAAAGCAATCCTGAAATGTACTCCTCCCAGGTCGGGCAGAACAAACTGATCGAGCAGGTACAAAGATTTTTTCTCAATAAAATAGGTCTCTTTAAGATATCATTTTTGGAAAACTCTGAGTTTTTCCATTATTTTCCAGCGCTTACCAACCATGAATTAATGTTATGAAACGCTTATCTCTAATCTAATGTGTACACTTTAGTTTACCATTTCATTTTCTTAATGAACTGTCAGTTTGAGATTGACTTGAGATATTCCCAACATCATTAGAATATACCCACCATGTTGTTCATGTAACGGGTTTCTAAAAGGTGATGCGATTGCTGTGCTACCTGGTGCGTTTCGGATGCTACTGCAGTGCGGACGAGATACGGATACTACTGAAACCACTTATGATTATGCTGGACGGAAGAAACGATAGACCCTTTCCAAAGAATGCTGAAATACGTAAGATTTTTCTTTTATGTTACAAGGGATTTGAACGGTTTTGGTTGTATACTCGTCGTCATGAACAATGTGTTAATATTTTTCAATTCATATTTTTTCTGTTGAACTGAATTTATTATCGGGTATTTACTAAGTTCGAAATGAAATTTTACGTGTTTTTTTCTTTATTTTAAACTTTTTAGAAAACTCCAAGGAAGTAAAGAAGCTGGTGAAGCAATATAGAGAGACAGACAGGTTTGAAAAGAGTGCGGAAACTAAGGCCCTAGTGGATGCAAAATATCAGTACGGGTTTAGTTTTTTATATGAAAGAAAGCATACAAAATAGCATACATAAATAGATATACAATTATCAAAGACTGCACAAATGTCAGTTTGAAGTAATGTTTCTTCTAAGTTTTATGAACAAAAAGAAAATCGACTTGGCATTTAAGAAAAATATTTGTTTATCGGAACATGCATCACCTCTTTACCGAGGCATCAAACTGCACGGACTCTCTGCTCTTTTTTTACAGGGGGCTTTCAGTTTTGGAACTTCTTTTCACATTTCAATCCAATACCCGCCTTGAGGTAAGACACTTCTATACTGTAGAATTATGTCTCGTTCGTGCCGTATTTTACTCTTTATATCGAATTAAAAGGCGAAGGAAAGAAAACAGTTGTGTACATTTTCGGTACACAACTGATCTAGCAAGATCAACGGAGGACACTAACGTCTGTCATTCAGTTTTTATTAGAGTCAAAAGAAGAAAAGGTATGTTTAAAAATGGAATTAGGCTGAAGGCCTTTCAGATGCCGTCGATAACAGTGACATTGGGAAGATGTGTGCCTTTAGAATTTTGTCAGTAATCTGAGCAGGCTTGTTTTCATAGTAAAACGGTGGGTGAAATGGGAATGAAACAAGCGTGTTCCTCATTTTTGTGCTGCCTTGCGAAATTGTATCTATCTTAAGCCAACTCTTCTTTTATTTAGTCATTCGTGTCCAAATTCAAAACAGCTGAAACGACAGCCAACGCCAAGAAAAAGAAGCATCGGAGTGTACTTTCTCCTCTGGTGGATGACAGCTATGATGCATTCAACACATCAAAGTAAGTAAAACCACAAAAACATGGATTACACGTAAATATATTATTTGTATTAATATGTGCGTTTTATGGTCACTTACACTAGTTTTTTTTAATGGTAAGGGAAGTTTTGTGATACAGTAATAAAGGCAATTTCTTGTTGTAGAAAGTATGGTTTAATCTTTGATTACATGAGCTATTTTAATCAACCATATTGCAGAAAGAACCTGAGAAAGCAAAAGAAATTCCTTCATGAGCTGCGTGCTATGTTTGAAAGTTCATCCTATTTTGACGTGGAATACATCACAAATATATCACTGGTAAGTGCATAGACATTTCGAAATGAACTGTCATATAAGTTTTTAATTCAAATATTTTTAACGGGGAAGTTCTGACGCACCTCATGCACCCTTGTTTCTTTGTAAAATGTGTTCTCAAGTGAAACTAGTTTTTACATTTTCTTCTCAGGATTTATCAAATTACAAATACGAAAAGATGTTGACGCAATCATTGAACATTTTGAACAAGTACTATTCTTCCAAGACGGACATGTTCAAGATAGCCATACCAACCCTGGTTAGTATAAACATAACGATCATTAACACCATCTGAATGAAGAATTAAAGCTTTAATACCACGTCGGAGACGGAACAATATTTAAAACATAATTTATATCCAGAAACCTTGTCTTGAATACGCCCAAACGTTCCACTAATCAATCTTCAAAAACGGGTTTATTTAAAGTATTTGATCTTGTCCTTACAACTTACAACACCAGACCATGTAAGCTTCACAAAGCACACGTGCTTTTAAAACACAATGAAAAATAACCGTGGAATAATTTCAGGTTTTGACCACCCAAGAGTCCTGTAAAATCCACATTGACATCATGCGCCAGCTCCCTCTAGTGAGACATCTAGCCAAGTGCTCCTACAACATGGAACAGGCAGAAGCTATGAGTGTCGTGTTCGACCAGTTCGTCTTGTAAGTGCTGACTGAAGAGTAAATCAGCATTTAAATAATGCCATTTTAATTAATTCATATTTACCATGTAAAAATCAGAATACACGTTTTAAAAATCACATAAGAAAATCACTTAAAATGTTTTTTGCTTAGATGTTTGAGAAAAGGTTATACCTCTCATAAAGTACTACAGATAGATGGTCAACAGTGTAAAATAACATTTTTTGTCGATTTTTTCAAGTATGCTTCACTGTGTGAGTCGTTAAAAACATAACAAATCTAATCTTGTTTTCACAAGATTCACCCACCTGAGAGACGAACCCACCCTGCGGCACCCAATGAATCAAAAGATCCTGATCAACCATGGTGTGCTAGACTTGATATTCGCAATACTTTCCCAGGAAGTAGATGTTCAAATCACGGTAAAAATAAAATTTAACTTCTTTGGTACTGCACGAAAATATACTTGAACTCTCGTAAATTAATAGGTTACATACAATTTTATCTATATAAAAGATATTAAGAGAAAAACATGTTAAAATGTCAGCAATTTGCAAAGCACATGCAAATTAGATGAAATAAACTTGTCTTTAAGAACTTATTGCAATCTGATGTTATTTTATTTTAGGAGCAAGCCGCGCCTATGGAGCTCGTATTCGGCAAAGCCCTGAACCTTCTACGGTTCTTGGCGCAGGGGAACGAGGACGTGCAGGCCAAAATGAACGATAGATTGGATTCCTTGATGAACATCAAACTTGTGCCATCACACCTAGCAATCGCTCTCAGGGAGGTATGAATTATTCTTAACTAAGTTAACTTCATTTAACTTTATTTACTATGTTATACTCTTATAAACCTCCGTTTCTCTCCCTCCCCCCTCTCTCTCTCTCTCTCTCTCTCTCTCACACACACACACACACACACACACACACACACGAGTAAATGTGATAATATGATAGTGTTCATTATGATGTGAAGAATTTCAAAATATATATGCAACGCAATTTTTAGCCACAATCATGTACCCATGTACATCATTTTCCCGCCAGGTGTTCGCTGGAAACCAAAACAACTGTCTCAAAATTCAACCGAAGCAAATCTTAAAGATCGTTCATTTGGCGGGAGAGAATCAAGACCGAGCTCCGGAGTTTCTGGACCTGCTGGGCTCTATTGTGAAGGTGGAGCTGCTCGAACTCCCCCTAAAGCGCAATCAGGGTCTGGTCATGAAATATTTGATGCAGAACTATCACAAGGCAGCCTACCTTTTTGACCAATCTCAAGAAGACAGGTTAGTAGTAATGGAGTGAATATAGACTTTCATACTCAAAACGAGGAAAACAAACAGCTGATGTCTTACTCTGCCAACTTATCGTATTCTTTCTCCTCTCAGCACGTACATTTTTGTATTCTAAATTATCAAATAGCAATGTTGCATTCATACTTTGTTAAGTTCTCATTGTTATTATTCCGTGGACTGCACTGCACTAATATCACTGCATTATTTGTCTTCTATTTCACAGCAGGGACGTGAGGTAACGAAAACTGTCCCCCAAAACGTATTACTTGTTCTTTTTCATTTAATTACAGTAAACTGGATGCTCGGTATTTATTTTGGTGATTGGGTTGAATATTTATTGATTTTTTTTTGGTGGACCTCTATCTATTTTTACCATCCTAACAGCTATTACCCTTTTATATAGCTGTCATTCGTAAATATGCGTTCATTTTTACTTTCTTGTATAAAACAATTTTTCCGGTGTATTTGCTGATATTTACATCGACATTTTAAATTTTTCAATATGTTACACCCAATATGTTTTTTTTTTATCATCCTGGTTGATATATATATTAAATATGTGATGTGTTTATAATCTACCAAATACATGTACATGTATTAAGGATAGAAAGTTAACAGCCTTCCTAGTTGATATTTTGGTTATTTTGATGATAGCCTCAGCATTTTACGGGATCCATACGGGGAAATGATGTAATTACTTGATCATGATTTTACTGATATAGGTACCTTTCTGTCTAGATGCCGATGCAATGCGCGCGTACACAAGTCGATACTTACTAAATATAATAACAGATCAGCACACATTTGGGATATATTTAGTCCAATTTCTAAATACATCATGATATCAATTGGGTTTCAATTGATTTTAGAGTGAAACTTGGCTTTTCATGAATATGAACAATTCCATGGTTATTTCCAGGTTACGCATCCTTACTTCGAAGACCGGCAATAGTCATCAGAGGTACCTGATAAGTTTGGTGGACCTCCTCGCCAAATGTGCTGAAGTATGTATCAAACAATATTTTGCTCTATGAATGAATGAATAGTGGTAATACGCATGGCAACGGCAATGTGGCGGGTGAAATGTGTCACCCTGTTTAACTGAAGAATGGCAAAGGCCATGTACTTCACGAAACGTAAAAAGCTATAAGTGAATATGTTATTAAAATTAAAAAAAGCTAAATTAGTAGAAGTGTAGCATGAATCTATCAAAGGATTATTCAAGCTTTGAATTATTAGCCATGTGATGTTTTTCTTGCCTTTGGTATAGTCCGGTGGCTTAAGGAAAAAATTGTGACACGACGGATAAAAGCACCAAATTTGGCATGTAGTTACCTTTTGACATTCTAAATCAAATTAGGGCCGTAGCCCTCTCAAACAATTTACCGTTTGGTCAAAAAATCCAAAATGGCCGCCAATTTATGGAATTCTATAGAAATATGTACATACACATGTTGATTTTTATCAAATAAATTATTTTCTCAGAGTTTTCCACACCCTAATTACCCATTTTATTCATATATGTCAGATAGCAAACAAGTTCCCTTGGACTTTTTGAAAAAATCCAAGATGGCTGTCATATGCCATAGAAACAGCCATAGGAATACTAGTGCACAATTAATACCAGCTAGAAAGATACGTTGTCCACTATCAAATTAAGTCTGTTACTCAGATTATTGTTACCCACATAATATGTTTGTGGTGAGTAACTACGGAGTGTTCTTGGGCATTTTGGAAAATCCAAGATGGCTGCCATGTGCCACAGGAATTCTAGTATACGGGGGATTCAACTAATGGCAACTGGAAAGATTCATTTTCCACTATCAACTTATGTTTGTTTCTGAGTGTTTTCCACATCCTTTCCACCCACACAATATGTATGTGGTGAGTAACTAACATGTATTCTTGGGCATTTTGAGAAAATCCAAGATGGCCGCCAAATGCCATAGGAATTCACCTAGTATTATAAAGGATTAGAACTAATGCCAGCTAGGAAAAACATAATTCACTATCAAATTCAGTTTATTTTTTCAGTGTTTTACACATTATTATAACACTGTGATACATATCTAGCAGGTAATAAGTGTGCATATTGGATAATTTTGAGAAAATCCAAGATGGCCGTCAATGGCCATGGGAATACTACTGGAATTACAACTGCACATCCATGGCTTTTCATCTACTACCAGGGTGAAATTGTGTTTGCTTATCAAGTTTTGCCCGTCCTTATTAGTCCTATGATATATATCTGGTGGGTAAATAGTGTGCATCCTTGAATATTCTGAGAAAATCCAACATAGCTACAATTTGACTTAGGAATACTAATGGGTGGGTTTCAATTGCTGCTAGAGAGGCATGTGGTTCATTATACAATTACATTACCATGGGTTTGTTTTAAAAATAATCTACGTTTTTCATTCCATTTTTTATTACCCCTAAGATGTAAACCTCGTCTATAGCATGTGTGCATCTTTGGGTATTCTGAAAAAATTCAAGATGTCTGCCTTTTGTCGTTAGAATATTCGTACACATAATCAAATAATGCCAGAGATACACAGAGTACAATTTAAATGTAGTTAACTTTAGATCGTTTTTAAATGTTTTTCCTTTCATATCCTATTTATCCTTATGAAAGACTCTGTGTGTGTAGAAAGTGTACGTATCCTTGAGTACTATTTGGAGAAAACCCAAGATTGCTGCCAGTTGTCATAGGAAAATATCATTCAAATGCACGTAGGTGTCAATTAATGAACAGTTCAGACATTGATTCTAACATGAAATAAAGCCGTTTGATGTTCAGACATGTTGACATCCTTTTTAACCTTACTCTATATAAATCTGGTGTGTAGCAAGTGTGCATCTTGCGTATTTGAGAAAATTCAAGATTGCTGCAATTCACAATAGGAATAGTATAGTCAACTAGTACCGGACAGACATTGGGTTCAATATAAAATGATTTTTGTTTCTCGGAATTTCCCACATTCTTTTTGGACTATGAGATATCTATCAGGTGGGTAACAAGTGTGTACCCTTAAGTATTTTGACAAAATATCATGATTACCCTGATTTGCCTTAGAAGTGCCTATAAAATCCAGTGCACCAGTTTTCCTATGGGGAAAAGAAGGCCATCTTGGATTTCCCCAAAATGATCAAATATGGACATTAATTACCTAACAGATATGTATCATGGGATAATAATAATAATAATAATAATAATAATAATAATGATGATGATAATATTATTATTATTATTATTATTATTATTATTATTATTATTATTATTAATAATAATAATAATAATAATAATAATAATAATAAAAGAAAAACAACTGAATTTAGCTTAATTTTATATGGAAGCCTGTCTCTCGCAGGTATTAACTGAACCCCACCTTCTATGGCTAATGGCAGCCATTTTGTTTTGTTTTGTTTCAAAAAGGATACACATAACATTCTCATCACATATATATTGTGTGGATTAAAAAGATGTGGAAAATAGTCAGAAACAAACCTAATTTATCAATTAATATTATATCTCCATGGCAGAAGAAGCTCTATGTGCATACTGTAGTGTTCCTTTGATATGACGGCCATCTTGGATTTTTCTCAAATGCCTGAGATTAAAGGTTAGTTACTCACCAGAAATATATTATTTCTTTAATAAGGCACTCAGAAACAAAATCAATTAGATAGTGGGCAATGCATCTTCCTAGTTGGCATTAGTTGAAAACCCTTGTTCATGTTCTGGTATTTCTGTGCCATACGGCGGCCATCTTGGATTTTTCAAAAAGTCCAAGGACACTCGTTCGTTATCTGACATATATGCATAATATGGGTAATAAGGATATGGAAAACATTGAGAAAATACTTTATTTGATAAAAATCAACATAGGTATGTATATATTTCTACAGAATTTCAAAAATTGTCGGCCATTTTGGATTTTTTGGCCAAACGGTATTTTTTTCCGTGGGCTACGGCTCTAATTTGATTTAGTATATCAAAAGGTACCCACATGCAAAATTTGGTGCTTTTATCCGCCGTGTCACGATTTGGCCATTTTTTTGCCCTAAGCCACCGGACTAGTACTGATGCATAGCCATTATAAAATGTATCTACTATCCTTTCCCTTCCTAAGGGAGAAAACCGTTACATAGAATCACTCTGTCAAACGATCATGCCCATAGAGGAAATCATGGATGTTCTGAACAATCACTTCATTGACAACAACCTGAAGTCTCCATACTTGCGGTACCTGATGTGGGTATACATGAAGACCGCTGGCACCATGATCGAAAGTGGAGCCGGTGATCTCCCGCATGACAGGTAATTGGGGCGTGGTCCCAGGATCAGTTCATTAAGAAGATTGGGTGATAAAACCTTCGTGCTGCATTCATTTTACTAATTTTGGCAATATCTCCACGACCCTAAATTTAAATTGCACCATTTGACCGCCGAGAAAATACTAGCCCGTCAGCCCTTTTCTCCCATTTTTACGGTGAAAGCAAATATCAATATTGTGACTTTGTTTGCGCGGATGTGCAAATTCCCTACAGGATTCTACAAGATTTGATACATGTACACCCTAAAAGAAAATGACAACAATAGATGGAGTGTTCATGGAAATTAATATTCAGTGTAAATATGGTGTCCAATGTTTAATGATATCAAAGCTGTAACAAAATTGCGATTCGGTCAACTCAGTTTACGCGTTAAAGCAACCCAGAAAGATATTATCTCTTTCCGTTTTCTTTGCGGTAAAGTTATGAAGCTTCAAACAGCATGGCACTTTGAAACTGCTTTTAAACTCTGGCTATAATTTTGTCATTACAGACATGTATGGATCTACATCCAGGCCTTGGCCCGTGAGGCAGAGTCGCTGAAAACTTATATCAGTGAGAATGAAGTGAAGACAGTGGAGGTGATGCGGGCGCCACCACCTAAAGGGTATGTGTCATCAACATATCTTTTCTTTACAAAAACAGCTTCTCCATTAAAAAAAAAATTTAGTATGCAGTTAAGTAAAGCGCTTTAATATACGCTGCTATAAATGCAAGGCCGTACCTCTGAGATCTCCTTAAGGCAAACATGCATCTGATTGAAAATTTTGTGGTTGAAAATCCATGCTGTTAAATTTTAGGATATCATTATGGTTCTGCTCATTTTTGATTTCTTTTTCTAGGGCTGTTGCAGAGATGGACGATTCAGATGGAGCAGCGCACGCAACTCTATTTTACTTCTTTGACGCTGTCTTACCCTTTTTGCAGGCAGGTCTAGTTCTCACTAGTCTCATAACAGTATTTAAATCGGTATTTATTCAAAATTTCCTTTAAATATTTTTGTTGTATTTTCTCTTTAAATTCACAATATTTTGAGCCATCCCGTTGTAACTATAATTGTTTTCTGTTCAAGACGTTCTTCACAAAGTTCTATTCGCCCGACAAGGAGTTGTACCCAGACGAATTGGAGTATGTGGATCAGTTAGCACACTCCCTCGTGGTGAGCAGATGTTTACTAATGGGGATTCGATTATCGTATTTTAAAAAATCATATATACGTATATACCAATATTTTATGTGTAAATGTTTTGGGGAGATTAGACTCGTATATCTAATTTGATACATGAGTGGTCAAACAAAGTTTGAAAATTCAAATATATGATAAAGTGGTTTCCTTTTCTTCGTGACGGTAGTCCTAAAGCCTTTTTACTTAAAACTGACGAGAATGAAGAAGGTTTCCGTATGTAATACAAATTATACGCATGTTTTGTGTTCAATATATATACATACACTGTATGTATATGTGCCCATACATTATTTTCTTTTCAGCTGTGGTGCGACCGGGTTGGAGCAGTACTCTGCAATGCGACACATTTGAAAGTCCTCATTGGGTGTGTTCCGAGCGTTCTGCAGTCGTCTTCTATTCCAAAGAACGTAAGTCAAATATGTTTACCATCTTAATTACTGATTTTAGTCATGAATATTGCAGGTTTGCAGTATTCAACGTTAGAATCTTGGGATTTGCGTGGCGTACGATGATGGCTTACTTTACATTTCATGGCTTTGTGAAGATCCATTCGAGAAAATGGTGATCCATAAATTCATTCAATTAAAATTTATTTTTATTATTATTTATATTTATATTTATTATTAAAATTTATTTACAAAAACATCGATATAATATTTCTTCATACAATGGGTATTATACTGGTTTTATGTTTATCACTCTGTCTCACTACTTCATGCCTTGAAAAATATTTTTAAAAATGATCATATAACCTTAGTGATGCACACCCATACACGCTCTCTCGTTTCTGAAGCTTTTTCGTGTATCTACAGCACTAAGCATGACCGTGTGTAAGGATGGGGCATTAAGCCCATGATTTATGATGATTGAGTTTTGTATTGAATATTTCATATGTACAGTTTCGTGGTGATAAGCGCACAGTGAGTCGCTGATTTTTCATTTATTTTACCACAGAATATCAGGCGCACTGAATGATTAAAAGATCACTATTTGGGAATTAGATTGTGGAACCCGTTTTGTAATTGTGTTGATGTTGAGGAACTGGCTGATGGGACCATCTGTTGCATGATGATACTTTCTGATGTTTTCTTTGTCTTGGGATCTCTCTCTTCCAGTTATCCACAGAGTCAGCATTAACTAACTATCCATCCCTCAAACCGAAACAGGTTCAGTTGTGGAAAAATACGTATAAGGTAGAATACAAACAGGTTGACTTACCCCTTGGTTACAGTTTAAATGTTTGCCCTCTCGCATTTGACCGCTTTGCCTCGCTGTGTTATGTGATTCATTGCATCATGGTCATTTCCCCCCAAACTTTTAACAAACTGACGCAATATTGTTTTGACTTGTAATGTGACCAGCAGATACCGACTTTAAAGGTAGTGTGTTTTGTAATGATAATTTAAAAAGTGACTTAACGGTATCGCTATAGAATTGATGGATTGCAAAAGTTCATGGGATAATTTTGGGGGAATTATTCATCCAAAGCGAATTTATCGTTTAATAAACCTGCATTGCGACAAAAATGTAATTGAAAAAAAGAAGAGGACATGACCATTTTGCAGCAAATTTTACTGTTTGAATACTTCTACCAGACTGAATATTTGAAAGCTGACACGGTAGGTGTTTAGTGACCTTGCACTTAATATGGTAACAACATCAATTCACAGCATATGAGTTTGCCCCTATGCCGCCAGATACTGCTAGAACACAAGCATGAGACCGAAGTACATCACATTGTTAATACCAGGAATGTCAGCACTGCCACCGTTATCTATTAATGTGCATGTCAGCTCCACCGTAATAAATGGCACAAACCTTTTTTAGCATCTTTTAATGATGAAGTTCATATAATAAAGTTCTGTTTGTTTTTTTCAAATCTCGATCGATTGTTAAAGAGAACTTTTATGTATAAAAATCTGTGTTGAACGCATTCCCATTTACAGTCTGCAATTGTACCCTTAACTGAAAGGTATTTTTGGATACTTAGTACTGAATCACATTTGCTAGAACTTACTCTATAGTGCATGCAGGATCTTACGAATCGTAGCCACACAATTAATAGCTCCCTGAATGGACGCAGATGGCCACTTAAAATAGTGTGCTTACTATATGCTTTGTCTTTGCTTGGACTCCAAAGGCGAATCCAGAGGTTAGGGCTCATGATTAGCTGTGCTCCTAGTCAGTTAAAGCCTGGATCCGCCAGTGGATATAGAGGTGAATAAAGCTAGGTCTTCGACAAACAAGTAAATTTGCCGTATTTTCAGGTGATGGAAGGGTTCATTGAGCAGTATGGAAATGGAAGATGTTTGCGAGATCCAACCCGCGAGACGATAGATGTAAGTTACTATTTTAATGGTTTTTCTTTTGTCATTTGTTTGCAAAGAGACACAGTGTCATCCTAAGGTACCATTTCTTTTTCTAGATATTTTAAGGTATTACAAAGGATCTGATAATGAAATAATTTCATTTTACTCGAAACAAGTAGCACGATTTATAACAAGTGACTTTTACATTTTACCCATCCAATTACTGAAATTAATGCGGGTTTTACTGTGCTTTAGACATACACCATATACTATCAAAATGAAGACGAGTTAAACAAGAAATTCCGGGCCTTCTCCGTGAATTGCAGCCTGGTATATGGTGGCCACAACACCGTGACGGCACAGCTGAAGCACAAGTCTAAACGAGGTACATCTACGTTCATTTGTCTATATGGATATCCATTAAAGACTCAGGTCTGTCTATTAAACAGTGCGGTACAACCGAATTGGAAGTTGATAGCCAATATTTCCTCACGGACTTGATAAATGCAAATGATAATTTGTCATGCTTAATACATGTACTAACTGCAGAATCTTGTTTTCTTTTAAATACCGGTGTTAATTTGCACTGTCTTAATGTGAAATACGTCTTCAACTTAAAATAGAAAACGTCCCATTTTACAGAGTACACGGAAATAGGCGGAGATGAGGACCTGCCGCTTGGTGAGGAATTTCAGGCCCATGTGCGATGCTTCGTCAAGCATAATGAAAAGAACATAGCGAAGCGATACCAGAACGTCAGCAAGCTTGTGCAGCAACTCGCGTAAGTGAAAAATAGAAATGAAAAAAAAATTCATCAGTTTTTATATAGTTCATTATTTTTTCTGCGATTTGACTGTCTTTTTATATCTAAGAGCTGTATGTCTACATACATGTAATTTAATTTTATTATTCTGATACATTTCTTCTTTTCAACTGTACAATATGGATAATCATCCGCTCTCTTTGGGTCTACATAAGAGATCGAGTGTGTTAATGATGTATTTATGCTCTGTTTCAGTGTCTCAGCCAATGCCGTGAATCCGAAGGACGGCACTTATGAAAATGATGAGTTGGATATTAAATCTCTTCAAATATTGCGCGCCGTTATCCACAACGAGGAGCGAAAACTCAGAGAAGACTGGGAAGAGAACACCCAGGACAAGAAAGTTCAAAAGTATGCAACCACTTTCGATACGTTTTTTTTTTAAAGATTTTGCAAGGTCTGGATTGGTTATACCCAGAGACTAATTCAGGAAATGTGTTTTATACTTGTATTTTTGTTCATCTGAATTCTTCGTGAACACTTACACTTTATGCCCTGCTCTAACTCATGAAGCCTCATTTTGGGGATGGCATTTGTAAAGATGAAAATGGTTGCTGAATAAAAAATAGCCCTTCAAAATAACCTTTATTTTATAGGCAACTGAAAGTAATTCTGGAAGTACAGAATACTTTGAACTCGTATAGCGCTGTGGAGGAAGTGCTTCCCCATCTAGGAAGACCAAGTAACGCTATCGTTAGAGAGAGTCTAGCGTTCTTGTCCATTATGTTGTTTAATGCAAACAGAAACGTACAGGTATACTTTTTAACTCATGCGATTAAAAAACGATTCCCTTAAGGATGACGGAAGAGTTTAAACGACTTGATTTTCAGTATTGTAATTTCTCCTTAAGAATGTATCATTTATTAAAAGCTATTGATATTATTTAAAATTTTGAGATTTTCATAGTACAGTTACACATATTTAACCGTATACTTTTCAATGCCGCACACAGAAAGCCATGTTGGAATACTTCATGAGTACCAAGAAGGAATCGTTCTTCTTTGCAATTCGCTGTCGACTTCAGTTGTCGGCAATAGCGATAAAAGAGAGGTAGGGTTCTGTCCGAGTATGGATCGAGACAGTTCGGCTTGTTTACAGGGATGCAGTTGGCAGAGGGCAAATCTCATAACGGGTAGAGAGCAAGACACTCGCAGGAACACGGCTCTAATCACTGGCAAAAAATTGCCAATTAACATGTCACCCTGTTCTCGACTTCACATGGGAACATTATACACGATAAACACACGTAGATGATCATTTTCACGGTATCAATGTTTGTATTAACAAGTTCTTTCACCTACTACTCAAAATCGGTGACTTCATATTTTCTCTTCCATCTTAAAATTTATGAACGAGTGTAGAAGTGAAAGAGAGCCTTGAAGTTTTTCTGCTTCGCACTTTTTTTTACTCCGCGGTTCTGGTGTCTTACTCCGCACCCTGGCGCGAACAGTCCCACGCACGTCATGGACCATTCTGAATGAACCCTGTCCGTACGATTGCTTTTTATGTGTGTAAATGTGCTCTTTCATTGTTGTTTACTTTTTTTGCATTGGCCTTTTGGTTATTTTCCATTATTACTTATCGGTTTATTTTCGTTTCCACTTTCCTTTGCTGTGAGTAGAGAACCATGTTAGATGTTTTCAAGAGTATGAGGACGGAAACATTCTTTTTCGCCATCCGAATACGCCTTGAAATAGCTGCCAATGGATTGAAAGAGAGGTGGGTGTGTCTAAGGAAAGTTCCTGACAATGAAAAACGCTGATGTATTCTAAATATTTGCAAAACTGACATGTTAAGCAACAAAACAATGCGTTCTTAACTGTGAATATGCAGATACGAGGACCCATTGTTTAATAACTGTTATCTTTGAAAGGCACGTGGTTATGTACACATGGCGTCTGCTGATACATGTATATATAACTACACCCCTTTTCTATCATTGGCAAATGGCACTGTGCCACTCTTTGATTTCACTTTGGATTTTTTTCTGTGTACATTAAACCGAACTGAATATTTTGCCTCAGTATTAAATAGAGCAGAAGTATCAAACGCATAAAATATTTAGTGACCAATTTGCTATCATTACAATAATCATGATGTCCAGAACAACGTATATTTTAGGGTTGATAAATTAGTTTGTTTTTTTTTTGTCATATGTTAATTCTAATGCATGTGTCTATTACAGCTTTTAGATGCGTTCCTTTACCGTAGTGTAAGCTTGAAAAGATACTACTGCATATTAAATAGGATTATCTTATCCCGCACCGTGCACTATGCTTGACACTCTCGATCTTTTTCTACCTATCTAGGCCTATACATACGCTATTACATGCGCATGAATTTTCCTGTTGTTAACTTTTTATTAGATATCAATTCCCCCTTCATTCTCAGATTGAAGCATTTGATAATACTTAATTTTTAAGTGTTACGGTTTCTTCACTCGCTGCTGGTCAGAAAAAAAACAACTACCGTATCATTTTCATGTCTTTAATGACCATTAGAATGTACATATGACCAGTCGACTATGCACAGGACTGCATTCCTATTCATATACTAAACTGTTCTCTTCCAGGCGCGCATTAGCTACTCAGCATGAAGCCAGGGTCAAGGAATCTATGACGCAAGCAAAAAGTCTACAGACTAACCTTACTGTTGGCAGGAAGGCGATGAAGGTAAGGACCACAGCACGGCAATGTGACAAGCAATGTACAAATGTTCTTATTTTAATGCATAATGTATTTGAAAATGAAAGATCCCTAAATGAAAGTTCTCGTTGTTGCAACTTCTATGTCCGTGTTTGGTACTGTCTGATGTTTATATTAGCTATCCTCAATACTTTGTACCAAGTGGAATACTGAAAAAAGTGTTTTAGGAATCCGTTACTTAATTTTCTACTAACTGGGTGCACATTCCATTCAGATAATTGGTAGAATGGAAATATTTTCTAAAAGCACATTGACTTCTTGTGTATTTCAATATAATATCATATCAATGCACGGGACACTTCGGTAAAGAGGTTCTTTTCGTTATTTTACTTGTATTGGGCATTTTGCTGCTTTGCTAAGTACTTAGTTTACAAACGTTTTCAGTACGCATCATAACTCTTTTCAAACATAGAGAAACTTTAGAGAGTATTTCTCCCTTATCTTTGAGTGGTCAAAGGAATCATGGAGTGAGAATTTAATGCGTGATTTTTTTCTGATTTTTTAGAACTTTGGTTTCTGTTTGTTTTTTGGATTGCGGTGTTGGTGCGGTAGTAATGCCTTTTCTTTTTAGGATATACAGGCAATTGAAAGGTCGCGACGACAGTCAAGACTTATGAAGGGTGTAAGTGGTGAATTAATGAAATCTCTATGTGTTTATAATAGCATCAATTTTAACCTGATAATTTAGAAATATTGTAGATATTGGTTGCTGTAGGACAAGATATTAAAACAAAACTTAGATGAACTGTACTAACCTTAGTTCGTGTGTAGCACTGTTCATAAACAAAACATTTTTACATCTGCTTGTAGAACAATGCAATTAACAACTTCCGAAACACCTGTAATGGCAGTACTACTCGTTTTTCGAAAGGTGAAATGTACTGTGAAATTTCTAAAAGAAAAAAGTGAAAATCAAACGCATGGCGATAAAACCAAACGAAGGCATTTTGGTCACGTGTGAATTGTTTCATGAACATTCTCTCCGAATGAGTTTTGTTTTTCCGAGTATTCTGCCTAGTGGCGACTAACTTCACCGAGTTCTATATAACTAACAAAATAAAACCAAAAACGAGGACCAGGCGTACCATTCGCTGCGCAATCTGTGAAATGAAGCCGAAGTATGGTTGTTCTATGCATTTTTAGTATCATCCATACTCGTGTGTGTAGTACACGTCCACCACACATATGTCCAGGTATGTTTACACGAAGGACAACTTAGACCGATGACCATGTTATCTGGTCTTCTGTGAAGTTATTGACGTCTTAAGTTAGTTCTGCGTGTGAACAGACCACGGCACTATCCCGTCTTGCCTCCTCCTCCTCCGTACGTGGTGCTCACTTATCTTTTCTTCAGGCGCGGGCCAACTCTTTACGGGCACTGCAAAGAGATAGGCAATCGGGGCTTACCAGCATTTCCCCTGCCAGCTCAAAATGCAATTCCTTACAAAGGTTCAAGCTACCCAATGGTTCACTGAACGAAGAAACGCCATTAGTATTTGGTTCAAATCACAATGACATTGAACTGAATGAGGTGATGGTTGAGGTATGTTATATATTGTTAACATGTAGAGATACGCATCGTGCTTTTGTCACTTTCTTTAATCTAATTGTGGGATATTTTCTATCGTTGTCCAAAATGTATGTCATTTAGGGGGTCAGAAACCTCGGGAGTACGTCGAATGTCATATACAACAAAGGTAAAAAAGGTTGTCCCACCACCAATTCCATGTGATTTTATCTACAAATAATCACCTCACAGTTGTAAACTACTGCTCGCTGCAATTAATTCCTGTAGGCGGCACGATAAGCCTTCAGCAAGGGTTACACACAAAACAGCATTGTAACCCTTGTTACAGGCCTGTCGCGCCGCCTACCGTAGATGATTGCAGTGCACGGTAGACACGCAAGCTATTAGACACGTGACCTTTAACGAACGCTAGGCGGTGTCCTTTCAATTTTATGGACAATTCATTCTCTGTTGAAATCACAGTGAGACACTGGATTTGAGGGGGTGCATGAGTTAAATGTGAATAAATGGTATAAAATATGGATATTTTCACCGCTATTTGTATGTTTTAACCATTTATCATGCTAGCTATGCTATCTGGAATAAAAAGCACTGTTAATCACAATTTGCACCTGTGAGGTTATCATTTGTAAATACAAGCACATGGAATTGGGGGTGGGACAACCTTTTTGACCAATGTTTTATGTCTCTTATGTCTTGCATATGCTTTACAAAACTGACATTTATATTATCAATACTGATAATAACTAAACCTGACCAGTATAATAATTTAAGGGGCTTATGATTTTGTGAAAAAGTGTCAATATTATTGTTCAAGTAATATTAGAAAAGTGTCTGATACAGCGTGCTTAAATGATTATCAGCATTGATGCATACCATTTTCTCCAAAATCTGACTTTAGTGTCGATTTTTCTCCTCTTTGATTGTGTTCAGTTATATACTCAGCTGTCTTCAAATTTGTTTGCTCCTCGCGCATCTTCGCCATTACTACAAAAGACGGCACACCAGTGAGGCCATAAACGTCGCGTATACTTCAGTTCGTAACTCGTGCCATAGGCCTCTGGCCGGTCTAATAAGCACTGAGATTTGCATTAAGCATAAATATTATTTATTTGGATTGTTTGAGAATTGATTTGAAAGTGACATATTGCATATGATTTCTGCTAAAACTCGTTTTAAAGCCTGTTATGTACCCGTTTGAAATGCTATTCTGTCTACCTACTGTTTTACATGGATTAGATCAAAGTTTGAGATAAAACGTAAACCGATTCCAGGTAGGCTGTAGACACACTCCTAACCTTTTAGCTTTAACTAAAAATTACCTAATTTAGAAACTAACACGTGCTAGCTGTGCCATTCTCTAGGGCTCTGACAACCTCTCTGTGGACGTTGAGGAAGATGATGTTTTGGACGGCCTGGAGTTTAAAGACGAAGGCTACATTGTGCTGGTGTTGAGACTGCTGGCTGCTATGTGTGATGGACAAAACCAAAGTATTCAGGTAAACCGTGCACAGCCCATCCCTTCGAATCTCTTTAGTAAAGGTAATGGCATGCAATTTAGAATATCGATCGATTGAAGGAATTTGACCGACTGGTTTCGTCGTAGACGCGTCCGAAAAAACTTGAGTAAATTTAAGAACTCACGTGTGTTTACAAACAAATTATCGCTCAGGCACCTTGAGAAAAACGCAAATTCGGAGGCCGTAGTTGATACCGATATATCTAATACAGTAAAATTAAAAGAGGGATATTGTTTACAGAAGTTGTATCTCTTGTAAGATACGAAAGTATTATTGAAATCTCTGTCTTAGGCCAAAATTACATTTTGCCATGCGATGTCCGTACGGTGCTCGTATACTGCATGTAAAATCCCATTTCATGTAGCGTCTGTGCGGAAGGCAGGAGGTGGCCGTGCAAAAAAGTACGAAATCGCACAGGTACACGGCCTGCGTAGCCTCTACGATTAAGTCAAGCTAAAACTTTTGACAAATTTTTTTTAAATCGTAGGCTCTTAAGCCGTAGGATTATCGTAGATGACATTGTACAGTACCGTACAAGCACTGTTCAGCCGACTTGCGGTGATCGTGATGATGGTTGAATTTGTTGTTGGTCTCTTTTTCCTTCCACCTATAGTGGTGGTTTTAGAAGGCATAACAATAGTAAAAGTGTCTTTAAAACTTATTTTTATCACTTTGCTATTACAGGATTACCTACGGGATCAACCAGATAACATTAAATCCATCAACGTAGTGGCGGACACTGCCCAGTTTGTGAACGTTGTCTACTCCAACATTACCGCCAGCACCATTGACCTTGTCATTCAGCTGTTCAGCACTCTCAACGAGTTCACTGCCGTATGTATTTAGCTCATGAAATGAACAATTGTGATCTCAAAACCCATGGCCTTTTTATGATGTTGTTTTTCATTATTCATTTGCCAGTATGTATGTATTCATTCTGACTGTATTGTTTTATTTACCTTTTTTATTGACGAAAAAGGGACATCACTGCCTTAGACTTAGTATCTGAGATTTTTGCGACATCATGACAATTGACTTTTCTTTTGATTGACAACAGTAATTCTATGAGTTTGGAAGGTTAAATGAAAGGTTTCAATCACATTAACACATTCATAAAACGCGTTAAGCCTTTAAAATAGCTCTGTTTTTTATTCCAAAAACTTCTAAATCAAACTCTCGCATCGCTTTTTTACTTAAAGGACTTCGGTTCTATGTTATTCAGGGAAACCAAGCCAATAGGGTTGTTTTGTTGGACAACAAAGTTGTGGATTACATTAACTTCATCCTGAGAGCTGGAAAATATGAAGGCATATCGATGGAAATGGTATAAAATCAAATATATGTGTTCATTTATTATCTAAGAATACAGTGCTCATTTATCAGTAAATACCAAATAAATCGTCTTTATTCAAGCATGAAATTTGATGTATACATAAATCATTTGATATGTGTAAACTTGTAACTAATTTGAAAAAAAAATGACTTCATAATTTTAAATAGCCAGAAAAATGTATTTTAGCAACTTGAACTACGAGAAGTGATAGCCAATCTTCTCGTGAGTCTTATTGAAGAGAACGGTCCTGAACCCATAAAAGTGGCCAGGGAGGTGAAGGATACAGTAGATAAAGAAGCTGTCTACAGGTGTATGGTAGATTGTTACAGCATTCACCAGGTAATAATTAGATAAATGTTTACCTTTATTGCGTGGAATCACGTAGGGTTGACCACGATCAAAATGCCGAGTATCAATCTTCTCTATTGCCCAAAGTTGTGCCAAAATGTGTATAATATGTCTTTTTTTCTTATTATATCACATTTTACCTGCATATGCAATTTATAGACAAAAACGAAAGTCCCTTATATATATATGCTGACTTGATGTAATGATTTTGTGAAATTAAAATGAACAATGTCATTTGTATCATCTTGTATAGGGAAAATTCAGTAAAATTAACTTATTTAAAGTAATTAAAAACTTGATTATTGAATTTGATCATTCAAATATTAATCGATTCCTACGATTTAAATAATTCACCTGTGATAAAATTTATTATGTGGTCAAAAATATCGTAGTATCTGTCTCGGATGTTTTACATTTTTGTCTGCCTCGGACATTTATATTTTGTCTAGTTTAAGGTTTTGTCCCCACTTGTTTAAGTTTTCCATGGCAATTAAGAAGATATACGCATGGAAATCAGTTTAATTTTTCCACTAAATGTTGTTACTTTTATCAAAAAGTGGAATTTCGTGCTCTGATTTTTTAAAAACCTATTTTGCTATTTTTCAATTCTTGTAGCGCAATTTCATCGTGGTCAACCCGGATTGTACAGCGCTCCGTCTAATCTATTGTGTCAGCTTGTTTTTGTTTTGTTCGTGTTTTAACTCTGAGGTTGGGGTGTTTATTGTGATTCGCTTTTTTTTCTAACGGGTGTGTATTGGGATATTCAACTATGATGTGTTATAATTTATGACCTGAGTGGTTTGTATAGGAAATGGCATACAGGGATGGTTATGTTTGTAAATGTTGCCAGCCAAAAGATGAAATATTAAAGCGTTTTCTTTATCATTGTCTTTGGAAATATACAAATGTTATTCTCAACATAATTTACTTATATGACTAAAATCTTTGCTTTGAACTACTCTTTTAACTGTATTAAAATGGAATTCTTCTATCCTACACATACAAATCTGCCTCAACATGGCAACCATTTCATTGCATATGCATGATTGCATGCCTTTACAGCCTCCAACATATAAAGCAAAGATAAGCACCAATATGGGAGATAACATGAAAAACCTATCACAGATGGGTGGCGGTTTACTAAGAGAAATAATGGTAAGTAGAAAATGATAGATAGACCTACAGTAGCAATCCTTACCCTATTTGTCCCCCCTTTCACATGGAAGTGGCTTTTAAATTATCCCCGGCGTTTTTGTCAATTTCCTAGACTAATTTTTATTCCATGCATCTTGGTATGTAAAAGCTAAGGGTATAAAATCTGTTCACTGAAAGCAGACGCTCATCACCTAACATAACGTTAACTCATTTACCTACATGTATTATATATTAAACGTGTTTGCTTGGCATGTGTTTTTAAGTGTTCCCTTTCTGTTGTTCTCTTCATAAGTAAACTTTATTATATTATCAGACTGTCTTTCACTAAAAAGTAGACCTTGCCATCGTGTTGCACTCCGAAATGATAGTTAAATGTAATTTCCTTGTTTTTGAAACATGTAAATGTAATGTCCCTGTTTTAGAAAAGTGTAATCTGCACGTTAGCAGTATCTCAGTTGTGACGTGTACTGTATTATTATTATACCATGTACTGTCAAGTGATAAAAAAATCTCCTTTGAATGTCGCATGGGTAAAATGCAAATGAATAGCATGAATATGTACTACCTATCGCCAACAAAATCCATGTACATATATAGAGGTTTGAGAAAAAATTTTTACGAGTATTTAAATTTTTGTTAAATTGGATTTTATAACAGAAATTATTTTTGTACAGTCAATTTGATAAGTATTACAGTGGATAGTGACTTTTTGTCTTATTCCATCGCTTCTACATGTAGATCACTTTGAATTTTCTAGGAAAAAAACAAAAAGAATGACTTGAAAGACAAGGCTTACGAGGTTGGCTTCCTCTACTTTCTGCTGATGGCACGGTTTTACGACATTGATCCCGTGCTGAACGAAAAAGGTAAAAAACCTGAATTAAAACCCGATTTGTTAAAATAACAAAGTTTGAAATACACATTGATTGAAGTTATATGAGAGAAAGATAATGCCCACAGGCAATAAATTATAAATGCCTAGATAATTTTCTTCTTGTTTCATTCAGAACGTTTCTAGAATTTTCAAATCACGAGTTTTGTTGCTTGATTTCAGCTGGTCTCGTAATAACACCAGACCAAATGGCCGCTTACAACTATTACAAGAAGAATTCAATGTCAATAGAATTGATGAAAGATGGAAATCTCCAAAAAGTGCACTTCAGGGTGAAAAACAAGGTAAGTCTCTTTTTCAAAATTGCCTTATATCAGTTTTACGTGTCTTAATTTTAATTACTGTGTGACCTTTAAATATAATAAGAAAATCCACATTATACTATTTCTTCCGTAGAACGTTTTGAGAGAAGAAGTGAAGGAAAAACTAAAATGGGATGTTGACCGCTCGTCGCCTAGCAACAAGATTCGTGATTTGATGGCGTGGTCAAAGGACATCCTCAAAGACATCTACTACCAGCGGAAGATGCTGAGGAATCCAATCGCCGTTTTCTTCACAAAATTCTGGTATTCGTCCATTTCATTTCGTACATGTAGTCAGCGGGATTACATTTTGGCGCACGAGCGTAAGACGGTTGTGCTTCAGTTCCCCAAAATGATATCTGTAGTTGGTAGCAATAATAAGTATAATAGTAAGAGTACCTGTACTTGTCGTCTTTGTTAAGTCAAATTGAACAGCAGTAAGTTCACTCAGTTACTGGATATGTTTGTGTAAAACACAATTTCAGAGTTAATATTTCACAGGACTGATTGTGCTGATTGTGTTTGTTGTTCGCTCAACAGGCTGCTGTGGAACTACCTTGTTATATTGCTGAGTGTAGCCATCAACGTCTTGATGCTATGGGCCTGGAAGGCACCTTATGACATGAGTCAAGCGCCTGAAAATATGACACATCTTGACCACGCCATTTACAAGTAAGTCACTGGAAACAAAAACGGCCTATTCATAGAAAGCGTAAGGAAATCGCTATGCACTTGTAATAATACAACCCAACCTGTACTGTTTTAGTGACGTGATAAATAGGTGACTACTATATACATGTATTATCTCTTGTACCGACAAGTGCGACGGAATCCTGACTTTCAAACCAATTTGCAGACCATCGGACCTATGGGATGCTTAGTTTAACCTGAATTACCGATGTAAACTGCCTTTACACTCATACGTAATCTGTATGAACACTGACGTACATAGGGCCTATATGTATATATGTGTGAGCTCTATTAAATGAACATTGACAGCCCCTTATTGAGAATATTTTGAAAGTGTAAAGTGAAAATCAAACGTGTTCACGTTTTTATCAAATATAATTCTCCTTTTCAGCCCCAACCCAGATACGTCGTCGGTAGAGATATACGATTTGCTGCTATATGCTATGGGAGGCACGCATAACTTATTTTCACTGTTCGTGCTCATCAGTTATTTCCTTTCTAACCATCCCAAGTGCCCGAGTTTGTCTGCAATCCCAAATCTTTGCAGGTATGTGTAATGCAGCTTGACATTTTTGACACAGTTATTGGTATTTTTTGACAAAAATGTAGTTTAAAATGGAAAAAACTGATGAATGTATATCTCATTCTGTTTTAGCATATTAATATTTTAGACCCCGTGCATGTAAAATGCCCCTAGTCGTAAAGAAAAAAGGCTTAAAATCAAGCAAACATCAGGAATCAAAATTAAAATCGGTATTTAAAAACATCTAGCTTACATTTTACATCTAATTCTGGACTTTTGTACATTAGGCGTTTGTGTGGACGGAAAGATGAAGAAGAGGATGAAATAGCACATGAGGTTGACTGTGAGAAAGCTAAACGCCAGTCAAAACTTGATGTCAAGTTCTTCAGTCTTGCCACTTTTTATTATGTGGTGAGTAGACTCCTAAAGGTTTAATGGAAGCATGTCTAATTTATTTTTTGTAAAAGTTTTGTTACTGATATTGGTGGTCATCAACCTTTGTTATTGGTGTATAAGAAGGTCATTTTGATTAGTGATGAATCTCAAGAAACCAAGCAGGATTAGTTGTTTTTCTTCTTTTTAGATTTTCGTTGGAATGTCTGTCGCTGGAACATTTTTCCATGGTTACTTCTTTGCCTTCCATCTTCTCAACATCGTCAACAATAATCAAATTCTGCAGGGAGTCATCAAAGCTGTCACACAAAACGGTATGGTAGTAATCGAACTCTCCTCTCCAGTCAGTTTTTAATTATATCTTTAGGTTTTTTTCGTAGAAATTCAGTTGATGATTTGAGAATAGAGTAAATTATTGTTTTGTTACCACTGCCATCATATGTCACGACATGCTGTGTCCCTTCATAAATGACAGAAGTCGACTCAACAAAACTGTTTTTCAGCATGTGATAGATGCACTTTTCAATTTCTGATTGAAGCAAAATATATGATGAAAAAAATCTCAGTGAAAGAAAGTCACAAAGACCGCACTTCCATTTTAGTTGTGGCGGCTTTATTTAAAGTACACAATTTCTCGACAGAATATGTGATGACACAGTGTTTATTGCTGCACGCGACTTACCACGACTATCAAGGCTGCGGGTGAGACGAAAGTGGGATAAGATTTTTTTCCTGTTAAGCAGTCACATTTTGACTGGGAGTGCGCGTTGTGGCAGTTTTGCCAAGTTTCAATATTGCTGTATTATTTTTTCAGGCGTTTCGCTACTGTGGGTGGGCATACTGGGTGTGATCATCTTCTACATATATGCCCTGATTAGCTTTGCCTTTATGAGAGCGCTGTTCTTGCCTAAAGACGAGGAATATTGTGGAACGCTCTTAGAGTGCTCTGTGACAGTCATACGATACGGGCTGATTGGAGCGATATTTGATGTAAGCGCTTGCACATATCATATTTCTTTAATGACTGGGCTTTTGTTGGGTCTTTTGTTTGTGTAATTGTTTAAAGAAACTAGTGTTTTTATTAGTAACGTACTAATTGTATTTTCTGTTAAATCATTAAATAATATGATACTATTTGTTAATCTCTGTCTGTACACAGTGTAATATAATTGTTATCATAAAACGTTGCGATGTGTAAAGTTAGAAAGATTTGTGACGGGATATTATCACAGACAGTATAGATATCATTTGTCATTTTCAGCGCCTGACATTACCAGAATCAGAGAACAATTTTATCGCGTTCGCCGTGGTGGCGGTTTTCCACTTATCATTCTTTATCTTGATCACCACCATTGGCTTGAACGTGATCCTCGGTATCGTGGTCGACACGTTCTCTGAGCTTAGAGATCTCAAGGTAGGACTGGCTATTTCATCGACATAAAAGGAATAATTTTGAGTGGTGCGCATGTGGACGGAGTTGCTGTTGAAGTGATTTAGTTTTATTGATCACTATATTGCAGTGGAACGTGTTAGCGGCCCCATTACTTTGCAATTAGATTTTAAATAAAAGTTTTACGCCATAGATTCCTTGTCCATATAAAGGATATGTTATTAACGTCTCCTCGGATTATTTGCCATATAGGTGATAAATGTGAATTTTGTAGACATATCATTTAAATTAAAAGGACTATGTACTTTCAATTACAGTGGACAGCCGAATCCGACATGCGAGACACTTGTTTCATCTGCAGTCGAGGAAGTCACGATTTCGAACATCATGGGAACGTAAGTTGATAATTAAATCTTTAGTCTGAAATAAATTACTAAAAAAAGTTCGTTCGCACTTTCATTTGTCAAAAGAGATTTTGTTTTTACGTTCTGATAAACAATTACATAATGCCTAATACTCTGGTGCATATTTTTATCAGGGATTTTTGAAGCACGCCAGAGAAGAACACAACATGTGGGCCTACATATTCTTCTTTATCCACTTAGATGACACCAAGTCTAACGATTACACTGCGTTGGATCTACACGTAGCGCAAGCTGTGAGTGCTCTGCTTTGTCCCTTTTGGCATTTCCGTCTTTTTTTATAACTAAAAAGCTTCATGAAATGTTATCAATTGCTACAGTGACTTTTGTACTTGTCATACAGGTACCTGTACAATGTATTCAGTTATGATGCAGTAAAACATGAGTTTGCACGATTTGAGATGATTCATAATGTTAGCCTAATAGATATCATAGGTGGATGATAATAGGTGGATTTCTCGGGTGCCTAAGAAATATCCTTTTTTTTCGAATAACAAACGGCACATTTATATGCGGTTTCCAGTTTTCCCTAGCACGCTGTGCAGACTGCTGACATTGTTCATTACCCCAAAAATGTAAACAATAATAACATAAAACATATATATTTTGCTGTGGTTTCAGTTACAAAGAGAGCAATACGAATTCTTCCCCATGAATTGTGCCTTATCGCTCACTGGAGAAGAAGATGGCACAGACGAAAAAATTGATGCCGTCTTGGAGAAAGTCACGGAACTCCTTCGTAGACAGCGAGAGGAGGTCAGTATCACTGTTTTCGTGAAAGTATATCAGAGTACTTTATGCTATTTAAATGAAACGTTATTCGATATAGATGTCTCTACATAACCCGAGTGGAAGTTTATTCAGAATGAAATGCTATCCATTATTAAAATGTTTCTATAACCTGCTATATGAGTGTAATCAAAGTGGTATTGGATTGGTTTCTAGGAATCAAAACGAATGCGTGAAGAGGAGCACAGGCGTCAGAAACAGTGGCAAGAAATGTACCGCAAGGCGCTGAGCGGTAGTCACGACACCCTCGCCGCGGCCATCGAGGGGCCACGGCGCCCTGAAGACAGGGAGGGAGATGCAGCACGATATTCTGACGACGACGATAGTCGTGGAGGGGTCAGAACTCCAGAAACAATAACCTTACGTGACAGTGCTACAAGCACGGAAGAAAGTCCACCGCGGGAGTCCCCACGAAGAACAGAAGAGCCTCCTGAAACACCGCGCGAGCTCCTGCCACCGCCACCACCACCACCATCCGACGGGCCCCATGACGTACCTCCCGAAAGACCACATGACGAGCCTCACGCACTAGATATGGCACCACACGTATCGGAAGTGGCTTTTCCACTCACAGCCCCCGAAGACTTTCCATCACCAACATTTAGTGACGACGATGACTTTGATGACACCCGTCTATGAACAAGGGAACGCTATCCTGCATTGTGTTAAAAGTTTGGTGTTTGGTTTGGCGCTGGTGTAGTCGTCGTTTGAGCGTCGGTCGTTCCAGACACTCACATTATCAAGCATTGCTTGTAGCGACGAGATCACTTCCAGTTGCGTGCATTTGTCTGCCGGCGTGGAATGAAAGATCGCTTACTGTTGACAGTTTGTCATAAAAACAACACTGTCGCCCCTTTTTCAAGTATATCTTTTTCTCTGAAGGGTATATAGGATAATTCGAATTGACATTTTGTAAAAGCGGAAATGATAAAATTAAGTGAGGGGTTGGCCGATTTGTGTTGCCAATGACGTTGATACTGAAGATAGACCTAGCATTTTAGCAGGAAGGTACCGGGTCATTTTATATAACGCATGTAACAGGAGATACATACATACGTACATATAACTGTTCTTATTTTTAGACAGTTAAAGAAAGATGTACTTTGGATTAAACGTCTCTCAAGTGCAGGTCCTTAAAGGCCTATATGTAGTGCTTGAGTACTAATCGTATTTATATAACTGTATTTAAGAGTTTATATTTTAACATGGTGTAACCATTTTGGTTTTATCTGGAAAATGTATTTATATTTGTTTTCTTACATTGTAATAATGATATAGTATCAAGAAAAATAAAGGATTATATAACCTTGCAATTTAATCACACACCCACATATTTTAATTATTTGGATGCGCATCATCTATTTGTAAGCGTCACGTTTTATTGTATATAACGATGTGGGATGAACGCCAGTTGGTTGGATTTTACTTACGCATTAAACCTTTAACAAGTGAATCGTCACTGCACCGTAGTACATGTATATTATTATTATTTTACCAGTATTAGGAACCGCTGGTTTATTTATTTATCATAATTTTTACCGACACGTCAAAGAAATGGCATTTTGAGATATAGAGTATTTAAGTGTTTTAAAGTATTGCCAATGGGAATTAGATTTTTAATAGCTTGTATAGATTAGGTTGCTTTTTTGTTTTAAATATATAGCTCGGCTCTGTTGCATTTGACTAACGAGATATTATCCCTTGTGTAATTCCTCAGTTAATTGATCATTTGTTACGTTCATTGTATTATAACGCTGTATTTTATTATTGGGCGAATTTCTGAAGTATTAGAACAAGAGCGGATTAGTTTGATTTTCATGAGTCATTATAGTGCAATCCAGCTTTGGGGTGTATTTGCTTGAGTAGTACTTGGTTTATTGAAAAGTTCTAACATGTTAAACTAAATGTGGGCATATAAAGCCCTTTCTTATAGTAGACAAAGTTTTCAGTTATTGAATAAAGAAATTGAATAAATGCTGAGATCTTTATCTCAATCCTCTTAAACATTTTATTATAGTTGCGTCAACTGATTTAGACGATTACCTGATTTGGACGATCACACAATGTCGATATTTCACGAATGCCACGTTTAGCAACTGCAAACGCCTAAGCGGTCATTTATGATCCTCGTTTTATAAGTTGTAAGATTATGGTGTATTATGCATAAAAAGTTGAAATGAAGTTGGTTTCTTTGAAGTCGCTCTTTAAGTCTTGTTTTATGTCACTTTCTTTATAAATACGCTGTAAACACCGAAAATCCCGTTCGACATATGCATTTATTAGCTCCTCAGTCATGTTGAGAACCCTTACTTGTAAATAACATCACGTGATGTCTTTAGACTTATTCCACAGACACCCTGAAAACGTCGCACTTTTCGCTGAATTCTTTGGAGCAGACTTTATAGCTACAAAGAAGAATAGAAATTTAGTTTATTACGGTAGGATCATTAGGAGGATATTCCATAAACTTAATACATGTAGAAGAAAATTGTGCAATGCGATATTTTAATCATTCATATCGAGATGGCTTTTTTAAAACACCATGCGGTAGCAAAAATAAGGACGGACAAGTCAAGTTTGAGGATTATGGAGAAGCTGCTGCAAGGTATTATACAGTTTTTCATGCCCATACTTATTAAAGAAACCATTTAAGACAAAAACGATACAGTGCATATGATCTCACGACGTATAATTAATACATTATACATTATTATCTTATCTTGCCACACCCATGACCAGAAAAAGAAAAGGCTTTACGTCTCGAAGCTGTTTAATTTAAGTACCATTTTGAATCAGCATTGGATGTATAGTGGATAAGTATTGCGTACATGTACTCATACCCAACTTCGATTTTACGGTTTGTAGGATAACGTGGAACAGATCATTCAGAACAGTTACGTCTTGTCCTATTTAAAGACAAATTTTCAACGATTTATTTTCAGTATTCATTTTATTTTAATTTTTATTTCTAAAATATCTGTCATTCTGGCAGTTTCTATTGTCACGAAGTTAAAGTGAATCGTGCCAAACTTTGAATAAAAAGTCTGTTCTTTGCTTAGTTTTCAAGTCATTGATTTCTCTTTCCATGTCCGTCTCTGTAAAATTTAACATGATTGAAAAACAAGGATTAAAATGTCTTATGCTCTACAAGTAGCATCAGTGTCTCAAATAAAAAACGTCTATTTCAGTTCGCCGAGGAATGGTTGCATATTTGAAAGCAAGCAGTACTTCTTGCGTCAATGTGCGTCAATGTGTCTTGACTGAGCCTGAAACGATACAAGAGAAACGTTGCGAATACTCATACGACGCGTTTTGTTTTTGCGTTTTGCGGCGTAATTCGAATCAACAGCATTTTGCATTAGTGGCAAAAGCTGCATAGACAAACGGATAAGGATTATGATTAGTAACAAGTTAATTTTAATTTTAGCTCTCGTGGTACAAACATTGAAAAGCCACAGTATCAAACGCAATCAACAAAATGGGCGTTTTCAGAAGACATGATTATGTTTAAAACTATTGCGATTGACGGTACCAGATTTCATAGAAATTTTGCTTTCCCCGCAAGGGAAGAAAAATTAACATGCCAAAATTGATACCGAGTTTGTAAACAGATTGTTGTGAATGTCACATTTCTCATTTAGAACTTACTTATTCCCCTAGCACGCAACGCGCTCCACAACAGACGAAGCGGCACTTGTATTGGCTGCCGTGGCGCTGCTGGCAGCCCTCGTCTGAGGCACACCGTGGTTTCCATCCATTAGGACACTTACACGCCAATAAGTTGTAATTGAAACGCTTCACACGTTCAACAGCTCTCCCCTCTTTGATGTTTCCCAGACTCAGGGCGTCTGACCAGCATGAAAATATATAGAAAAAATGTTTCACAGGCTGTAGACTTCAACAAAGCCATTCAATTCGGTAGTGAGGGGATGGGGATGGGCATGTGAGGCGGAGGACAGTAATTTCATATTTAAGAGCTTAGAAAATCTAGATTATTTTCATCCATTTAAAGAGGATATGACACCCACGCCTTCACTTAATAAACAAGAAGGCGGAGATTGTATTTCGTAACCTGACACTTACCTGAGAACGTCTCAATCATAAGGAAGCCAACAAGGGTGAGGAGAATAAATTTCGTCGTCGATACTGTGAACATCTTGTTAGTTAATCCCCTGGCAATTCCCGTTGCAGTTGATCAAATAACCAAAAGAGATTGAGAGTACCAATGATAGGACGCAAGTTACAAGTAAAAGCGCTAGCACTTCTTACGCGTCAACGCCTCTCAAAAGAAAGAATTAACTTACGATATTAGCAATTAATAAACTTTTATCAGCAATAGGAAAATGACACTGTCAACCGTGTTTGCATATGCGTCGATATCTTAAATTTTGCGCTTAATAAACCCTAATCACCAAATTTATTGGTCTACTCCTTTCATGAAATCTGTGTAACGTTCTCGTATGACGTCATTCAGATATCAACTTAACACACGATTTCGACACTTTTGCCAGGAAACTTAAATATTTTACGCATTCATTTGGAAACAGTTCATGTAAACATGTGTCAATCTTGTTGTAAAATGTCCAAATTTAAGATAAGTCTAAGACAAGTGACACCAAGGTCAATCTATCTATTTAATGAGTTTTTTCTTCTATATGAGACTTATGTAAGCAGTGGAGCCCTCTGCTGACTGTATCACAAAACATTGCGCAGCCAGCGTGTGATAAAGCAATTTTGACTAATTTAGATGTGATCGAGTAATAAAAAATACTGGCAGTAGCGCCATCTACTCGTACCGGTAGTAGCCAATCAGACACAAAAAAAAAACATCTGCACATGCGTTACAATACTAAGGTACATAGACTGATTTGACTGCTTTGGATGCTGTGAAATTCTACAGAATATAATTGGTGCCGCCAGAGAAACAGAGGAAGACAAAGAGGGAAAAGACTGGCATACTAAGGTGACCGACCAGCTGAAAGCTACATGTACCAAAGACGGAGAGATATGGAGGGATTGATCACCAACCCTACAGCCGGATAAATCATGATAAATAGGTTCATCAACATGTTTTTCTTCACTGTATGTTTTGTACCATCAGGCATCATGGGACTTTATAATAAATCAAAGTTACGAGCTGGTGCAATCTTACGGATAGCCTATAATGATTTTAAGTTGAAAGCACCCCCTTTGAAAAGGGGCACTTGGAAAGTTTTTAAGTGCGCCGTTTCGCGTTTTGAGCGAAATTAGAACTGACTTATGAAGCCCGAAAATTGAATTTGCAAACGATTTATTGGCTACTTTTCGTCAAATCAACATAATTTTCAATTCTCTGTCATTAACTCATTCATGATTTTCTAACTTCGATCTTTTTGCGGTTAACCGGTAGAACATTCCATAATGAGGGGAATACACTGTATGATCTGATGCTCGTTGTCGGTAAACTAGTATATATAAATACAGTTACAACAGAACAATATACAGGCACTAGTAAACATTCAGCATGTAGCCTACCGGCCCTTCCTTCGATAAATACACGTATTAGCGGATCATGGGATATTTTTATACCACTTCGAACCTCCCTTGCTGAAAATACCCACACTCCCGTACATGTATATTTTAGTTGGTTATTTGTCACCTGCCATGTTACTTGAACTCTTGCCCTTTTTTTCAAACAGTGATAGGCCCCATTCAGAAAAGGGGGCTAACTAGTCCGAGGGTCAAACATGGCGGCCCACTACACTGAGCTTGTCGTCTAATCCGTTAATAGACACTGAATAGATATCCTGTGGGGAAGTATTCAAGTGGATCGGCCATATTTGACCCTCAGACTAGTTAGTCCCCTGGTCTGAATGGGGCCATAGAGACACTGCTGCTGCACATGCACAGAGATTTGATGCTGGTACTTCATTTAGATCAAACACGCTGAGTCTTCCTTGATGGCTAGAAAAATGAGCAATTGTCCTTAATTGCATAATTTTATAAATTGATTATATGAAATTACGAATCGTTTGTGGAGTTATATATACAGTATAAAAGAAAGTGCCACCTCCTGGTGCTTCCATGTAATTACACTATACAGGGGGCTTTATTCTCTTATGCAAGGTCTCTACAAGTTTGCTTCTTGTTGTTTAGGCGAAAGTTAATCAATCGACCATATCGAGTGCGGGGACTTGGTTTAGATCATTCTCTTAAGTAAGTAGTAACCAGGCTATTACATAACATGCATGTCGGTGCGGCAGGAATGGCAGGCCACTTGGAACCGTAGTCCGTTACCCATTACTTTCCACAGGTGACACTGGTACTGTAAATACTAACCCTTACCTGTACTTGTCACCGGACTTCTTCCTAGGACTACCATTCCTGTCACACTGGCACATCTTTCATACCAGTAGTTATAGATGCCATTTATTAATTTGGGGTTAGGAATGTTTGCAAGATCTGTTTAATTTAACAACAACTATGACATTCGTCCATAAGGTGTGACAGGATATCTGCTTTGTCGCATTCGAATCCTTCTCATCTGCCTCGCGCATGTTAACCAGAAGCTGTGATTGAAATGTCAGTGTGCTGGATTCTGTTAAATTGGATCTAATTACCATACACTGTATATGTCGCGCAAAGCAGTGCAGATGGGAAAGACTGATGATCACTTCACTGTTGTTTATTTAAGTAAAACCAAAGCAAATGAATTCAATGCCATATAATCTTAGTAGCGCGTGTTGCTTATAATTCTTCTTTAAGTTTCCGTTACTGTCACGCCATAAAACGATACCGATGCGGGTAGTTTGTGACTTAAGGGCGGCGAAGTTCCTGTGTTTTACATGTAGCAAAGGTGCGTGGGAGTTGAATCAAGTTATTGAAGAGCGTGAAGAAAATACCCAAAGTTGGATCTCCATTCAGATAAAATTATATCAAGCTGGGAAGGGACCAACTCGAGTCATTGGACAACCATATTGATGAATTAAGTTTTGAAGATGTTATGTCCTGTCTCCCACATATGTCAAACAAAGACTCGCGACTCGATTTAGAGACTCGAGTTGGTCCGATTTCTTATTTACTGTACTCCCTGTCTTAAGGAGCCTTTACATAACAATAGTCAGAGGTAAACCTTTTTCAAACAATTGGCTTCTGTTGGCGGTTCCCTAGTCACATAAATACAAAGGTCGGAATACAAATGAGAAATAGATAAAATTACCCTCATTGCACCGAGGGAGTTAAACAGTTCCAAGCAAACATATTAAGCACTGGCTGCAAATACACGTTCGGTGCCAGCTATTTATTTAAATACTTTCTGTTTGATATCTTGATCAAAAAACCTGCCACCAGTGGCAATGAAATAATGTGGATTCAAAGGACAAAACACTGAAAATCGAATGGTTTTGCTGCAAAATGGACGAAATGCCAAATCTCCCAGATTTCAAGAAGTAATGCTTTATTATACACATACAAATGAAGTTATCCCAGATACATTTCCACCATGCTTTTCGGGTCAACAAAATTGGCTGAAAAATGTTTCCTGATGATACAATAAGTATATCTGGCAAATGTTATACCAGTATATAGGTTTAATGGTAATGTGTTTTCAAAAATTGAGAAATGCTCTCTATTAATGTCTTGCGTCTCGCACTCAAAATAGCTTAACGTTTATCCATTACTCAGCTAAGCTGCCACTCAGTCTTATTATAAAATAACCTATTTCTTTGAAGTTAATGCCAACAACAAATTGGCATTAATGTACAATTGCAGTAATTTCTTGAAACTCCATTTATTGACATGCAGCTGTGAGTGCTTTTCTCAGTCGATATAAAGCGTTGGGGGCAAACAAACACAAGTTTATTTTGCGAATTTTCCAAGATAATGCGAATTCCGCTTTTCCATGAATCCTGCAGTCACATTAATTACCACTAATCATTGCTTAGAAAAAACAATAGTTTGTGCCTTCGGACATAAATTTGTTTACGTGATCAACTTTGGAATGTTATGAAAATTGTGTTATTATGTTTATGACAGAAAAAAATAAAACCGTATGATTTATTGCCGGTAACAGTTACATGTACGATGTAGTAGGCTTCACAAGATTATTCAATGCAAATATTTTACAGAAACAGCCAAAAGATAATATGGATAGGTGTAATCTTGGCATTTTAGTACATGTATAAGTGAAGGAAAAAATGTGTATCCTAAGTGACATCATCTGGGTATTTGTTTGACATAAAGATTTATAAAATTATAATTTTCTGTCAACAGTTCTGACTTGTTGCAACAGGGGGCCAGTGTCAGTATAAATTATATACTTTGAAATCGCGTGAAACTGACAATACAATATTGTTATATCAAAGGTAAAATATACAACAGTTGACACGAATATATTGAAACATTCAAAAATATATACTTCTCTGTTCTTTTGAGAAGTTGTTAAAATACTTTTGCGACTTAAAAGCCTTCGAAGATTAGTCCTGCCTTAGAGTACACAGAAACTACAGTAAAAGACGGAGGGTCAAGCGATAATCCGCAATTGAATAACAATACATGTATGACTATCTAGAGGTTTGCAGTCTTAGTCTTGTAAACATGCTCACGAAATATAATACATAATTTGTAACAATCGTCTTAAACATCTTGAAAATAATTTTTTTTGCGCAAAGAATTCTACCTTATCGGCAAATACGGGAGCGATCCAATGAAAACTCTGTATATCATCCCCCTATCTCTATTTATTTCTCCTCTGCTCCCTCGATTTCCTCATGTTTTCCCAAAGCTCGGGCTAGATTATACAGCTGCATATACTCCTCCGCAGCCTTTTCCCGCTTTTCTTCTGCCTGAGCTTTTCTGATGAAAGCTCCCCAGCGCCCGTACTGTGGCTCGGCCTCGTATGGGTAGAAGGGAGCTCGTTTATTCCCCGGTACCATACTTAGGTATTGGCGCTTAGGCACGGAAGGGTAAGGTCGTATGGGAATCTCGTAAGTTTGGTATTCTGCCTCTGGTTCTTCCCGCCAGTATCCACGTGGTTCGTCATCCTCTTCTACTCTGAAATTCGGGGAGAAAGCCCTTCTTTGGTCAAATATTCCGTATCCAAAACCAATTCTGTTTCTTTTGGTTGGTATGTTTTGGGGGACGTAGCGATATATGTCGTAGTTATCTGACGGGAGAAATTCTCGGGTCCAGTATTCTTGGGGTACGTATCGGGGCACGTCGTAAGGGCTGTAAGACTGATCATCTTCGTATCCATCTTCTTCATCTTCTGTACGAGAGTTGTAGGCTGCTCGCATTAGCTGCCACAAATCTCGCAGTTCGTCTTCCGAAAACCTGACATCATTATAGCCGTTCACATCTCGCCGAGAGCGTTTGTTTCTCCTAAGTTCTTTTTCTTCTGCTGGCGCATCACGCTTTTCAAGGCGGGCGGGGAGGCTGGCGCTTCTCTTTCTTCTGTAGTCGTATGGAGATAAGTATGGATAATAATAGCGGTAGACGTAAGGGTCCACGAAGTGGTCTCTGTCGTAGATCATTTGATCTGAAAAGATATATGCTGTGATATATAGCTGTGATAACTAAAAGTCAGATATTCCAGCTGTGTAAATTAAGAAAACAATATATGTTTGTTGACTTTCCAAGACATCAAAGACCCATTCCCAAGTTCAAACATCAATATGGCAGTTAAAATATAGTATAGCCATATGTAACGTCTTTGGACTTAGAGTATAAATGTGTAACTTCCATTGTAACCCACACCTACCCCTGCATTTACGCGTGTACATGTCAAGATCAGCAAAAAGTGCTTACCATAGTATTTTTTCAAATCATCATAATCATATTCTTCCTCGCGTTCCTCATCGTCAGAGCCATCCTCCGCAAGTTCCTCGGGTGTCTTCTCTTCTGCACCAAGACTAGCAAGTGCTTTCTCTTCATCAGTGATATCTGCATCAGGGGGAAGCTGAGGGGGCGCCACCGGCTGTGTATCTACCAGTTTGTCCACTTCATCGCTTTCTTCGTCTTTACTCTCAGAGATGTCTGGCTCTGTAGAATCTGAATGGCTGTCTTCATCCTGTTCATCCAACATGTCCTCCGTCTCTGAATCGGTATTCTGGTCTGGCGTCGAGTCTTGATTGAAAGGCTCTATCACACTGTCGGCCGGTGGTTCGTTAGAGTTGTCGCCAGCGTCAGCGCTGGGTACCTGTTCCGACTCTTCAGCAGCGGTGCCAGGGTTTACGAGTTTTGGTATTTTATCCGAAAGCACCCTATCCATTTGAGTATCAATGAATTCAACAGGCTTTGATTCCACTTCTGACTCGCTTTTGGCATCAACCAAACTGTCTTCTTTCTCGTGTGACGCGGTAGAACCAGCCTCTTGACTCTTACTCTCTATACCTGGGTCTGATTTCTTTACCCTTTCCTTATTCTGTTGATTTCCAAAGGCTATGGTTTCGTCTGAGCGCTTTTCTGTAGAAAAATATTTAAACAATTGAAACAATTCCAATCAGTGCATTTCTGTGAATTTCGGTGTTTAAAAATTAATTCGATTAAATAACCATTCCTGCATGAAACATTGTAATGTACATGCATTTATATTAAAAACCTTCAGTCATATACATGTGACAACTTTTCAATTGCTTTTTTGCCTTGACGTAGGATGATAGATGAATAAGGAAACAAAAAGGAGATAGTTTGAATAACGTGTTAAATATATAAGGGAATTGCATGTAATACGTACTTAAATATCAATAACACAAAGCAGAAGTGTCGTGTTGTCAAAAAAAGTACAAAAGTGGTAATGTGAGGCTAGTTGTTTATCTGGAAAATAGTGATTTTTGTGGCATTGGCATTTTATGTAGAGGAGGATGACAAAGCCATTGCACCATATTGATTATCAATGAATGACAGTAGAATGTTGTTTTGTTTTTTTTTTTTTTTTGTATTTTATTTTATTGGTAATTTCAAGTAAATATCATTACTAGCCAAAGCCCTGAAGACAGTTTGGATTAGGGCATTCCTAGCCATCTAATTTTCAATTTAATCCCGAGGGTTTTCAACTGGGCCCGCCTTTTGGGAATTCCAAGTGAGCCATTCTACCCTGTTCATCCTTACTGTGGTAAAGCCACATTTGGCCTGTCCTGCGTGGCATTATCATCCTGAAAATTGAACGGATGGTCCCTGTCCCCGAAGATGTTTCCCATCGCTGTCAGTAGGTGTTGGTCCAGGCATCCCGTCTAGCGCTCGTGATTGTGTGTTCAATTTAAACGTACCAGTCAATCAGTACCGTATATTTTGTGAGTTCCCGTACTGTCAACAAGGAAGCAATTTGATCGCCAGAGGGACGTTACACGTTCGATGACACACCAAGAGCACAATTCATACAAATGGCGCAATACTTTTGTCACCCCCAATCCCCAGAAGTTGCCATCTGTTTCATTTCATATCAAACAAAACGTCGTGAAATAAGGTTTTGACATGTAACAATTTTGTATGTTAGTAAAAATAGGACAACTAAAATGTTGACGATTCGGATATCTTTATCATGATAACCACATTTTAACACTTCCATCTCATAAAAACATGACGCTACAACAGTAATAATTCCTCTCACTTTCTTCAATTATCTTACCTGGCAAGGTGGGAGCAGCTGCCATGACTCCCAACAGCATTGCCACCACAGCGCATTTTAGCAACATCACGATGATGCTCTGGAAAGTCAAATACAAAAACTGCTTTGAATATGGACTATACATGTACCAGTTAAGATATTCAAACATCTTTTTTTACCGCCAGATTTTTTTTCGCCAATTCTCAGTTGTACAGTGAAAATTATACACGTAAAGTATTCAGGAATATACATAAAAATCCAAAGCCATGACTCTTGTACTGGATTGAACTCAAATTCTAATAATATTATTGTTTGCGTGTACTAGATAAGCACGAATCTCATTGTTTGATCTGAAAACGTGTATCTATTTGGATCGTCATTCTTTATACAACGATCCAAATTTATTCAAGTATGAACATCAATTTCCAGTTTAATTAAGCAAGAACGAACAGCAGGATGAATGAAGCTGCTTATACAAGCTTATAAGAAATGGGAGCTTCAAATCCTGCGCTTCTGTTCCGGGGCGATTATATCAGCATGATCTTTTACATCTAACAATCAAAGAATGGTGAAAATAGAATAACCCACGGCAAGCTTGCTTCTTCAAAGATAACATTGACGTAATGCATGGATTATTCATGTCCATTTGTAACAGCCACACGGTAAACAAAAGCCGTATTCATGTGCGTAAGCTGATATGCATATATCAAATTTCAAATAATGACATATATTAGGTAGTCGCTATTTGACATTTGTATACACGGTTGGTGATGTAAACCTCAAGCATTAAATGTCGATTTCCGTGCTAGACAAGAGTTGTTTAAGTGGCAAACTCATATGGCTTTGTCTACTGTTTGCCCACGGTAAAAGTTCTTGCATGCTGGGAGCCCATAGACATTGTTATCTAAGGTATCTATTTTCATGTCAGAACTTCAAATGAGTCTCTCGTCTTTTGTATGAAGTGTCCGTTATTTTATCCACTTGTATGGGGATTCTCATGCATTCTCATACTTTTGAACGAGACTCGTATTTGGAGCGTGTCTTGGGTTTATGATAATGCCAACTTTACACTCCGGGAATTGTTAAAGTAAACCAGACTGCATACATGCGTATAATACTGAATTATATGCAAATAAAGGCGAGAGGGAAACATGACTCACATTTTGTGATTGCTCCTTGGAAATATGTCACCTATTCTTTGCTACCTTTGAAGATACATTCTATAGTTACTGTGTTAAACCAGTGACTCTTGCTTCCAAACATTCCAAACACAAATATTGTGTTCTGTATTGATTTCACTCAGAAATATAGAACCATGCATTTTTAAAATACTCTTGATCTATGGTTTCATTAACTTTTTTCCTTTTGAAACAATAAACCAGTCTAAAATATTCTACGCTTGCTGCGAAAATGTTGCAATTTGCTTTATCATAATTTGAAATACAGAACCAGACAAACCAAAACCGCTCTGCTCAACACAAGCATATAATTGGGACGGCATAACACAAGCTTCTGTCAACGGAAGCATGAATATCATATCTTAAGAAAACCCAAAGGTGCGTAACTCGTTATTTCCACTGGCTTAGGTTAAAAAAGCACTGAGGCAAGCCAATTAAAGACTTCTTAAAACCCATAACGACGAGCTATTTCCATTTATTGAGCTCTTCTGGCGTTTTAATGTTCTTTATCATTAGACTTAGATTGATTTCCAATGTTAAATCAGGTACAGCACGTGGGTGTAGGAAGAGAATAAGGACCCAATAAGGCACGCTGGCTAATGCACAAGTGGGATAATTAGTATTGACTAATTTGCCATCCCTGCTTGTCTAACAGAGCACTGCGTCAACTATAGCGTGCTGTCATTCTGCTGGATAGATTCAGAATGATTCCATGACTCGCCAAGAACACACTCCATCCATTTTTTTTATACACTTTTTCCTCTAGAAACCCAAAACTCACTCTTAAAAACCATTTGAATCTATTATTTAGCCAAATAATATCAACAAAGTTTGACAGATCTTCACTGCGCTGCTGTAGTGGTAATATGAAAAATAGAAACCAATCAGTCTGTAATTCTAAGCAAATGGTACGAGTTGTTTTACTGTATACTTCTTTAAACCTAGGATCCAAAAGCCTCTTTATTTTTGATCATAGTTTAAACAGACTGCAACATCGAAAGACGAGTCCATTACAAAAGTATTGCAGCATGTGTGTAAATACAATGTTTACTACCAAATGATAGGAACGACCTGTCTTACTTGGTATTGTAGGCTTTTGACGTGTATATTTCATCAGTTATGACTTATCAGCCTGAATGATTGAATATTAGCTTTGTCAGCTATCATTATCAAAAAGATGTCTATTCTACAATACTAGTGCGATGGCCGCCATTAAAATGGAGAATATGTGGAAGGAGAATTTTGGAATTTCACTGCCACTTTCTACTTTCAGACCGAAATAATTGCTTTTGGCTGACTGAAGGTACAATATAATTGATGATTAGAAAGATGTGCAAAACGGCGATTGAATAAAAAACCCGGATAAACAAAAACCATTGACGTCTCTCATTAACTGGCAGTGTTGCCATTAGGCTAACACTTTCACTGATAGTAGAAATCTAGAAACCGTCCTCTTACATCCTTACTTTGAAGGCGAAAATTTTAATTCGCCGATAGCGGCAGCCAAAACAAATTTCATAGGGTTGCTTCAAGGAAATAGAACAGCCCTTTGCATGAATAATCCTGCCTAAAGATACCAATGGTTCTTAATATATCATCACTTATTTTGTTCAAGAAGAAACCCAACTGAGATGGATCAGCATAATTTGTAACTTAACGTAAAAATAGGGTCTCTAAACCAGTGCAGAATTGGCATTCAGTTTAATAATAATAATAATAATAATAATAATAATAATAATAATCTTTATTGGAATGTTGCAACCCGAAGGTTGAAGTTATACATATAAATATTTATTTATTTATTTACTATTTTTTGTAATCAAATTTTATTTTAAGTCAGAGAAGCCTGGTCATTTTTGGTCCTGTTGCACACTGTACAGGTAGTCGCTCTCACCTCCCTGGGGAGGATACAGCCCGGCTGCCATATTAGGCGCTCAGAGCTAACAAACTAACAAACATTTCTCCTCTGCCAGACCAGGCCCCTGCTTCAACCCCTTAGTGCTGAGTGCCAAGCGGGGAGACAGCAGGTACCGTTTATAAAGGACTGGTATGTCCCCGGACGGGTTTGAACCCACGTCCTCCCGCTCCGGAGGCGGACACTCTAACCACAAGGTCATCCGGTCGGTCAAAATTAGCATTGATGGGCCAAATCTACTTTAAATAAGTTTCGTTCCGAGGTACAAGTGGTAAATTTTTTAATAGTTTGAGTGAAGCAGTTCTGAATAAATAATAACTGGTTATGTCCCAACCATTCCGCGCTTGACTCCACAAAATGAAATGGCGACTGGGCGTAACGCGTTTGGCAAGCAAAATATTTATTTCACACGTCAGTGTGATACTACTAAGAGAAGATCCGAAGATCTACAGATCCACGGATCAAATATGGCGGACCCTACATGAAAGAAGAGTCTCCCCGCCTCCACACGCGCCATTAAACAAATTAAATCACGGCTCCGAGGTTTAATTGCTAGACCCTTGCAAGGACGGTGTGTGTGGAGGCGGGGAGACGATCTGCGGATAAATCGGCTCTTCTTTCATATAGGGTCCGCCATATTTGATCCATGGATCAGAAGATCCTCGAATCTTTTATTCCAAATGGGCTCTTAGACATCGCAAGCCTTAAAGATAATATACTAATTTTAGAAAACGAATTAATCAGTTTTTAGAAATGTGAGAAAAAGAAAGTATGAACGCCACATGTAACATAAAATACAAAATTCACTATACACAGTTTCGGAAAGGGGATTCAGCAGCAGACACCTGATAGATTCTCAATAATGAACACTCATGGCTTTTCATCCAAGCCATGGGGCATATACAGTAGAGACGTAAAAGGTCATCAAAATAAAGCAGTCGCATTTGAAGTCTCACTAGTATATAGTTTGTTTTAATTTCAAGGCGTCATTTTTGTATCATATTTGTAATCATTTTTGTAATGTGTAAGAGAAATGTTTCTTTCAAAATTATTGTTTGGATATTCAAAAAGATCCCTCTGCTTGTGCAATTAATTGATCTCAACTTGAACTTCAATATTTTTCTATTTTTTTAATCAACAAGTTTTGCAAATTATGTGAAATAATGTTTCCATTATGCCAGTATTTGCACGATAAAAAAGCTCATGTGAAATTTAAAAAAACATACAAAACACCCTTTTTGAAAATAACCAAACCACAGGGAACTCAGATTAAGGAAATTGACGAATCAATATCGGTTCATTGAACTTGGGTTGTAAAACCACTCGGGAAATTTAACAAGGTGCCTCGAGGAGAACACCTCCGCAAACCTAATTTAAACCTGTATCTTGTAACAGATGTGTATTTAATTGTACTTGACTCTCTTTGGAGGCCTAAAAACTCAAAGACCCAAGGCAAAAGAGGCAAAAGACAAATTATAACTGTAATTGTAATCTTCCATCGGCACGTGGTTTCCCCTGCAAGCTAAAAAAAGAAAAAAAACACAAGAGCGAATTTTATTTCCTCATCTACTGACTCGTAAATTTTTCGTATCAAATTAACAGATTTCAAAGGAGAAAATGGTTGCTGAATCATTATTGAATAGTGTTAAAACGTGTGTTGCACATGTGTGTGTGTGTGTGTGTGTGTGTAATTGAGTCAACAGGCACGTAGACATGAACATATGAGAAGTCGCACTATTTAAGTTAAATCTCTTCTTGATAGGCAGTATATGGATTTGTTGCGTCAAATCTCCGATGCTTGAATATATAAATAGCATCGACTTGAAAGAGCCGCCTCTTCAGAAAATGTATTGGCGACAGTTAGATTGAGTGCTTTCCTGTTGAACCTCTAAGCCAGCAAAAAATTGCAAAGAAGCATGTGACATATAAGTCTTAAAACACATCAGAAATATCCCTTAGTAATGCCACGAGAGATTATATCTTTTAGCTGCATTAACTGATTTGCAC